GCTCAAACTATTCATGGAGAAATCAGAACGGGGAAAAAGAAGGACACAACTATATTTATCATATCAAACATTTTCCATTTTCTCACAATTGCACGTATTTGTATGCCTGAGTGGTCATTGGGAAACAAACCACTTGGCGTTCTTTGACATGTTAAATGTTATAGGTGCAGTTAAACCTACAATTCCAACCGATTTTCTCAAAAGACAATTCCAAGAACTTCAATCTGAATTTATTAAAGAAATCTTTGGAGCGCAAACAAGTGGATGGACTATTTTTGAAGCTGATGCCCTACAGCTTAGAGTTTTAATGACGTATTCCCTCGAACTATGGGAAAAATGTATGAACTGAGAAAGATCAAACTCCAAAGATGCCAACATTTTCTGTGGTAAAAGGGCCAAAAGAAAAGCCCATTTGACCTTGTAGTAAGTGACCCAGCGGCTGTATGATAGGTCAGCATGGTCACGGTCGTCTCTAGGATGCTATATGATCAATTATACAGGTTTTCTCTACTGAGGGACCCCCACAACAGAAAACCTACAAAACAATTGACCCTGAAGCAGTGTCAACACAACCGGGATCAAAATCAGTAAGTGAGTAAGTAATCTTTATTCATATACCGCCTTTCACAGTCACAAATTACAAAAGTTACAATTGTGGGCATTTGTCCTCTCACTCCACACAGAGATGGGAGTGGGAAAATAAATACCCTTAAACCTCAAAAAGTAGCATGAACCTTTTTAAGAAGGTGTTTTAACAGTTGTCTTTTACGACGTGAGTTTGGATGTTTCTTTCTTGTGGATTTTTACTAAATGAGTGCAGTTACTGTTTGAACCAAAGCTGGTTCAACTTTTTTTTTTAACATATAACTATTTTAAATAGCTGCTGAGTTCACATTTTAGAATACATTGAATTGTGCTCAAATTATGCAAAAGATGCCAAATTGTTGTGTCAAATCATTTCAGGGACCACTTAAATGCTCTTGCTGGGTTGCGTTGTAGAGTTTGATGGTTATAGTTCATTGATTATCTGACAAAAAATATGAACGAGAATAAAATCCATTTGTTCCAGTCCCGGTTCATGCGATCTCTACTGGGTTACTTAACATGCGGCTGTCAATACTGATAACCTCACCCTTTCTTGGCTCCAACGACCTCTCTCCTTCTTTGATGTAGGATTATTGGACTAAGCCTTGACACATTCTGAAGTTACAAAAACCGCAGTAACTCACAGCTTTACGACACTTATAAAGCCGCTGTAAAATACTACACTCATTTCCCACATGAAAACACACTTTAACTTATGCCGGCTAATAATGACAATTTACGGCCTTGCGTTTCACTATGGCTCCGTGCCGTTCAGAAGGTATGAATAATCCCGGGTTAGAAATGCATTATACCCTCACGCTAAATACCAGTGACAGAAAAAGCACTTGGAATATTGGGTGTCGGCGGTAGCTTCGGCGCGTCTCACTTCCACTGCAATTAAGCACTATTCTATTATTCCCCAGACACTGCCACACACACTATGCACACAACGTAATTACCAACTCCTCTTTGACCGCCCCCCCGCCCCTCCCTCCCTCCTCACTATGCTGGTCATGCACTGTTATCCTGCAAAGCTGTCGACATGTGTTAGTCCCAAGGGTGTTTTGTGATGTATGGAATTATCCTAAACAAGGGGAAAATATCTGTGAATATGCCGTGACTAAATACATTATCAAAAAGCTCTCCCCAACACTGTACATAATGCTATGCCTCGCTATCTACGCAAAATAAATACAAAATGCAGCTTGTAGTTAGGGCAGATGGCAAGGATTGTTTTTTGTTTCACTTATGAATATATCTATGGCGTTTGTACTTTTGTTCTAACTCTATCCTTTTATTATGTCTTTGTGTACTATTTAATCCTATTTCATTGGGTCTTTCTCTTAACAAAAGTTTAAAGTGAAGCTTTCAAGCAGATCAGCCAATCAGAGAGCAGAATGAGGTGGTCACTTGGGTAGACGTGGTTACAGCCAAAACCAGTTTTTTTCGATTACAAACACAAAATACCATGTTTCAGTGAAAGCAGATGCAAAAATAAGTTATTAAATGTAATCCACTATTTCTAGGTTCACACCCCGGGAGGTGGACTGCATCAGTAATCAGTAAGAATCTGGCAAACAAAAGTTAGATTGTAATTGTGTTCTAGGCCACAATGGGGCCTCGAGCACTCCCTCTACCCCCAAACTAAAACACTTTACCAGTTCAGCTGCGATAGTTAGTGTTCATATCCCAACTCAAAACACACCTTTTTTCTAATTGGCTCATTTATTTTGATATTTTAAACATATTTTATCTATTTTTCTTTTGCTTTTGTATGCGCTTGTCCTTGGTGTTTTGAACGGCGCCATCAAAGAAAATTATTATTATTACATACAGTTCCTTTATTGGGAAATTAACATACTTAGTGAAATTTTAAATGTATTCCATCTATGTTTCTTGTGTGATGCTTTTGTATTCAAATATAACAAATGATTATTATGATTACATACGGTCCCTTTAATGCGGAAAAAAATACACTAGGCGATACTTTCCCATGTTTATGATAATTCACACACATTCCAACATCTGCGTCGAAGTGTCCACACTGTCAAACACAATATGGCGGTGACGCATGATGGAGCTTGTTAGCCGTACCCGCAAACAACTTCCCGCTGAGTCGAGTCGACCGAGCGGAAAAACCCACTGCTCGCTACTCCTCAGAATACTCCAGTTATTGGTTGTTTTGCTTTTCATCGCCCAGGCGGCAGAGGTACCGAATAACCGTAGGCTCAGGAGTTGCTCTTGTGTGTGTGTGTGTGTGTGTGTGCGGTAAGAAGTCATTATCGTGTCTCGCTAATGCTGTGAAAATAGCAGAGAGGCAGTTAAACGAAGCACAAATTGAAAAATGGTGACATTAAGTCTCAAACCACCGTCTTATTGGTTTATATAATGGCGGTGGAAGTGCAGACGTATAGGGGAGGAGGTGTGTAACGTCTCCCCGTAGGACCGGAGTCTGAAAGAATAAAGTTAATGATGAGGGAATTGGAGAGAGAGAGATGCTGCCAGAAATCCAAAAGGACTTGTTATAATTAATGCGGCTGAAGAGATGAAACGGTAGGCTGTTACTGTCTGACGTTCACACACTTGAAACCAAGATTTTCACAAGATGGAATAAGAGTTTTTGTCATGTACAACTTAAAACTCTAGATTTTATACTTGAATCTCCAACTTTAGCAAGAATCAAGATTTGCTTCTGTGTTATACTAAAGCTAGCGATTATATACTTGCTTTTTATAATGCTAAAGCTAGCGATCTTATACTTTCTTCTTGATCATGCTAAAGTTAGAGATTTTATTTTATTTTAATTTAGTATAACATTATTAATTTAACTTGTGTTGTGTGCTCCTCACTCCTCCTGTTCTGCAACCGGTGATGCAACACTACCATTTTCCGCATTGTGGGACGAATAAAGGGTGTCCTAATCTTAATCTTAAACTAATTTATGAGTTAACAATGCCTAACAATGGTCCCTTGTCAGTTACTCGCTTACACAAACTTTAATTCTGATTGATTGTGGTTTAATCCGGCATCAAGTACATCAAGCATCATAGGGTTCTAAGAAATGCCCAAATCATTCCCCTCAAGATTAAGATTATATGAATTCAATCTCTGAATATTAAGGTCAAAGAAAGATCAGGCTATTTGTAGGGTTCAACTTGTTATGGAGCCAACATCAAAAACACATAATTGAAAAGGTTTAGCCATGAGGAGTTTGCTGGAAAGTTGTTGTAAGTTTTGTTCATAGACATAACTTCTCAAGAAGCACGGAAAACCAGTGTGTTTGTTTGTGTGTGTGTGTGTGTGTGTGTGTGTGTGTGTGTGTGTTATTGCCACCACCATCACCTCCAGGCTGTGAAACAAGATAAGCCTTTTAATATCCAATAAACACTCATTTAATTCATTTTGCAAGAAACTTTCCAAAGTCATATTATTAGACACATTTTTTCAGCGAGATAATATATTCGCATCCACGGACACGGATATCCTCTTGCCAATAACGGGAACCGCTTCATGCTGTTTCTTGACGGTAAAGTTGCTACTAATTAGTGCCCCCTTTTCTCTGACATTCAAAAACAGTCTGATCCGACTATTTTTACATTCAACTTAAATCTTCCACTCAGACGGTGTGAAGCAATTACTGCATATCCCCCGTAAACATGGCAACAACGGTGTATCAAGTGTGTGTCGAGAGTCCAGGTTACATTCTCACAGCACTCCTGAGGAAACTAGTGACGCACAATTCAGTGTCTCCTCAGTGAAGCAAAAGATTCTTTTGTACATTTCTCAAGATGTCCTAATGGCATCATCAGCATCAGTTGTGGCGAGGGCAGAAGTGGCCGCGTTGCTAATAGAGAATAATGTTTGATGGTCATGTTCGTAAGTGTCCATAGACAATGCACTTCATCCACTGAGTGTTTTGTGTAAATGGAGCCTTGATGTTAGGTGCTCTGTGTTTGGACGTTTAGAAAATGACTGCGTAAATACAACCATTTATAAGACGTAATAAGGGTCCAGAAGACGTCCAGTGGAAGAGTAGGTAAAGACGGAACAAACTCAAAGATGTCTGCGTTGATTTCTAAACATTAAAATAGTTTCTCTTCTCTTTCACCCAAGTTTTCATGTACGTTTGAGTAATATCTGTTTTCATTGACACACAGGTGTTTTAGCACACATGAATAATATTATACTGCATATAATTCTACAAAGACTAGTGATTAAAGTGTTTTTTTCTAAAATGAATCAGTTGAATATAGGGCTTTTTTGGACACTCATAGACGCTTCACATGAGATTTTTCAGCCTCTCCATACACTACTATTGTAGCCACAGTTGCCCTGGAGCCCACTGACAGCAGTGAGGCAACGAGTATATACCAGCTGCTCCTCCGAACACCACCAACCATTCACACACACCAAACTCATTCTAGTCTTTCCTAAGGACACAACATCGGTTTGGCACTGTATAGTTACAGCCACCCCACTGAGGCACCTGGTGTTCCTATAGGTCTCCCATCACAATACTAACCAGGCCATGTCCTGCTTAGCTTCAGAGGTCCGACAGAATCCGGCTTTCACATGCAAGTATGGCCACTCAAACCTATCAAAGTGTTATCTCTAGGAGCTTTTTCCAAGGGTAGCAGTTTTGCTTTGGTCAAAAGAATAAAAAAATCCCATATTTATAAAGCAACAGGTGATGATCAGCACATAGCAGGAAGAAGCCGGTTGTGTGTGTTTGAACTCACATTGTGCTTTTGGCGAAGAAGCCGGTCGTGTGTATGTGTGTGTGTGTGTGTGTGTTTAAACTCACATTGTGCTTTTGGTGAAGAAGCTGGTCGTGTGTATGTGTGTGTGTGTTTAAACTCACATTGTGCTTGGTGAGGTTGGAGATGTTGCCGCCGATGGCCTGGAGCCAGTCGAATCCGTCGTCTGTGGTCTGAAACTGGATGACGCCGCTGCACACCCCATCCACTGCTATGACCTGGAAGGCATTTTTCCTAAGAACAACACAAAAGCCAAAGATAGAAACAGCATTTTGCCACAAGAGCTTTTGAATGGTTTACTGTGACGAATCCCTCCCAGGAGAGGCTTACAATTGCTTACTGTGTCAACTTTCAAATGCATTTCGACTGTTTTGTGTAGGGTCAAACCGCATTAGCATATAAAAAGATAAATATTGTATTTTCAAACTCTCAAAACTTTTCCTTTCCTCTGAGGCACGGCTATTTTTAAGATGCAAAATATTAACCAGGGACGAGCAAAAACGCTGTTTTTATATGACTTGTGTAAACAGCATTTGTGGTTTTGTTACCACTTAAAATATAGAATTATGTGTAAGTATAAGTTTCCTCTCTTCTCTTCCAAGATGCCATTAAAATACCTAGTGATTTTCAAGGCAAAGAAGTATATTGGCATAGCACTATATTCATACACAAGAAAACCAAACAATAAAGGAAACATCCAAATTCTGATACAAACAAGTGAAAACAAGAGTATTTAGTATAACATTGTGTTGGAGGGCAGCTGAGGAGTCTATTAACTTGAGGCTACCATGGTATGTTATAAATCATTTAAAGGCTACATTTCTCAAGAGACTAACCACATAATTACTTTTATTCTAAACATTGACCTGAAATTCACAGCTAGAGTTTAGTTAAAACACACACATGGCCTTTGAGTCTACAATACTCTGCCTTTACCTTACGTCCATGTTTGGTTTAGTCCTAACATTTCAGAACTACATTTGTTAAGAAATATCTATCAGGAAATAGTCCAAAAAAACTAATATTTTCTAACAAAACTAGCTTGATACCTTAAAGCATAAACACTAAAAAAGAAAGCATGCAAAAGATTAGCTTCAACTTTGCATTTAAAATAACAATAGAGACCTTGATACAAGTGTAGGTGAAAAAATGTGTGGCTCCCGACCAACTGAATGTCTTTTAATTCGGCCCTTGACAAAAATAACTTTGACTCCCCTGCTCTACGGTATCTGCAAAAGTCAGACTTGTCTTAGTTTGGAGATGGTTTTCCTCAAATTCTCTCAAATTCACCTTAGACTAAAACTGTCACTGGGTTTGTCAGTACAGAGACAGTACATCATTAGGTCTATTTTCTCATAGAAGTGTGTCTAGAAGTACAGACTACTCATACTAATTACTGAAAGTTTGCTTGGTTCTTTGACTGTGTGCTTTGGTGACATTACAGACTCTTAAACCGAGCTTGTGAAATGATCAATGACTCTTATGGCCCCTGGAAAAGCCATGTTCCAGCTTCTTCCCTCAGGCAGAAGATTTTGTTTGTTGATATGCAGGACATGTGGATATGCTAACAGCTTCTTTCCAAAAGCTGTCATCAGGTTAAACAAAGCACTTGAATGATACTTGTCTTATGCACACTGGGGACTTTTGCAAATGTATTCCAATGTGGTTTTACTGCAAATGGCAAATATAATGAATCTGAATCACAAAGGGCAGTAGTTGTGTCCTGCGGCAGCTCAGGAAAGCCAAGCTGCCTGCACAGATGTTGGTGCAGTTCTACACGGCCATCATCGAGTCCATCCTCACCTCCTCCGTCACCGTGTGGTTCGCTGGAGCCACAGTCAGGGACAAACAGAGACTACAGCGCATTGTGCGCTCTGCAGAGGAAGTGATCGGCCGCAGCCTTCCATCGCTGCAGGACCTGTACGTCGCCCGAGCTCGAGGCCGGGCTGGTCGTATCACAGCCGACCCCTCTCACCCTGCACATGGACTATTCCAACCACTCCCCTCAGGCAGGAGGCTGCGGTCCATCAGGACTAGAACCTCCCGCCACAAGAACAGTTTCTTCCCCTCTGCTGTTGGACTCTTGAACACTTCTTAACCTGTCCCCCCGCCCTTTATAAAGTCACTTTACTGCCCATCATACGTCACTTTACTTCACTGTACTGCTGTCACCTTATATTGTGTGCACCATGTGCACTTGTATATTGTAAATAGTAACTGTAACTCTATTTTAAATTTAAATTTATTCTTTAGAAGTGTTTTTTATTCTTATTTTTATTATCTCTTTTTGACTGTTGCACTGAGCCAAAGCAATTTCCTAGTCTGTGACCTCCTGTTACTTACGTGGCAATAAAAATGATTCTGATTCTGATTCTGAGTTGGCCCGCAGACCTCAGTTTGACTACACCTGCCCTTCACACTCGACTGGACTCACAGATGTGGGGTCTCACCTGCAGACGTCAGAGCCCGGCATGTACTGGGACAGGCGGGAGTGGAGCAGGGGGATGAGGCGCAGGTCCACCCATCTCTTCTCCCAGCGCAGGCTCGGCGAGGTGGGCCACGACGAGCACGACAGCGTGTCCTGGAGAAGTCAACCAGACAGTTTACGAAAAGGCCCTTCCACAGAGAGAACGGATCCAGAGAGAGATCTGTCCCGTGTGTTCAGCCATGCAGTAAAGACAAAAAATGGCTTGAATATGAATTTATCAGACTATTTGTTTAATGCTGGTGACTGTGAACAACATGTTGAGCTAGTAAGTAATCTTTACTTATGTAGCGCATTTTTACAGCTCACCTAAAATGCTTTACAATGTTTGGGCCAACTCCACCTATTCACTCACTCATAACATTCAGACCTATTGTGCATGTTTATAGAGGTAGGGGAAACCGTAGCACACAGAGTAAACCTAAGCAAACACAAGGAGAACATGCAAACTTCGTAAAAAACAATACTGACTCTGGAAGCTATTATCTCAGTTAACAGGGAGAACATACAAACTCCACTCAGAAAGGCCCTATTCTGTACCCGAACCCAGGACCTTCTTACCGAGAAGCGAGAGTGCTAACCACTCAGCCACCGTGTCGAGTTGAGTGATTTATTCATTCCGCGTTCAATGTACATAAAAAATTATCATCAAATGTCCATAGAATTTTCTAGCAAATCATTTGTTAACAATTTCTTATTATAATTTACATGATTCAAACTCAAAAAGGAGTGGGAGGAAGAACAAAACGTGACAATATTTTATAATGAAAGCTGTGGAAATGTATATAACAGCTCAACTTCTGCTCTAGTTTGTATTTACTGGACGTGTGTTAATGAAAGTTTGAAGTGGTTTGAATTGATACGATAAGAGAGCGTATAAATGCATTTATACAGCGCGTTTCTACTTTTTACAGCACCCAAAAGCTCTTTACATCAGGAAACCATTCACACAGTCGCAAACACATTCATACCCCAGATAATGTGTGCAAATAATGAGGCCGAGGTGGGTCGAGTGTCTTGCCCAAGGACACAACGACAACATTCACCGACGGGAGCCGCTTTCATGTCAACTTGTGTCGGGGACAGGATTTGAACCACCGACCTTTAGCTCAAAATGCACTCGCCTTTAACTATAAATGTTCACAGTGGCAAGAAGAGAGTGAGAAAAATGAATGGGGTAAAAATGTCTTAATCTTAATTTGAGCACATTTTTTAAAGTTTATTTATGAATCGCTGTGTCAGAAAACAGCGTCAACACAAATAAATGCTGGAATAAGCCTCATAGCTAAATTGCATTCATTGTCCTAAGGCAGGAAGAAGAAACACACACACACACACAGCTTGACAACACATTAGGCAATAGACAAATTGTAACACAACAGCTACAAACAGGTAAAACATTTGCACTTGTCTTAATTAAAACAAAATTTACCAACGGAAAAGGCAAATGTGTTTTCTTTTCATTGCAAAAAATAATAATCTTGGACTGAGAAAGTACATTTCAACTGCACTTGAAATAACACTCAACCACTTTGTCCCAACGGCAAATCTGGTTTTAAGGCAGTCAAGAAAAGAAACCTGAGAAAAATGTTGAACTCTTCTACTGTTTATTATGTATCTTGAATCCTATCTATAGTTTTATTTTATGCCTGATTTGGTATGACATAAAATGTAGTCAATTCAAGACAGAAACCACTTCAGACAAACATTCATCACCTATAAAATAAAAAGTACCAGTTCAGTGAAGATAGTTTGTTTGAGCTCAGAGCGACACAGATTTTATACAACAACAAAAAGGAGTGGGCAGAAGTAAAGTAAAAAAAAAAAAAAAGTATTAAGGCCTACCACTCTGTAATACATACTTATCAAGTATTGAGTAACATTCAAGTCTTCATGAATGGCTATATCTTATTGGTTAAATTGGAAAGAGTTTCAATGGAGACATAAACAGCTATTAACGACACCGATTTTTATACAACAATAAAAAGAAGAGGCCAGAAGTAAAAAAAAAACATATAAACGCCTACTCCTTCAAACTGTCTGCCCTGTGTACTGTTAGTGGAGGCAAACATGCGACATCACCAGGCCAAGGTACAGTCTATTTAACATACTACTACTACTACTGTTACGCCTCGAATGTATTTCAAACGTGCTTCTGTAACAGGGCGTACCGTGTTGTTGGGATGATAGTTCAAGTGCAGGCCGCTGTCGCACAGAGGAGAAGAGGTTCCGCTGCTCTGGTCACTGGGAATACCTGAAAAAAGCAAAAAATAAGCAATGTTATTACACTCATCCAATGACCTCACCTCCGCTGCAACACCGCTGGCCTACATTTGTGCAACCTCTATATTCACTTCAGCCCAAATGACTCAGGTCCTTATTTCCGTGGTAAAAAAAACAAAACAAAAAAAACATTGTCTCGTTTATTCACTGTCTTCTGGTTCCAAATTAATGAATGTTTTGACAGTACGTCCCATCGGGTAAGAAGAGTCTCCCCGCCAACCACACAAAAGCCGACAGGTTCATTATTCGGCTTCGACGGCTTACTTAAGTCTCCAAAAACACAACATCTGAATATGTTTAAAAAGTCATTTATAAGATTAATTAGAAGGAAAATCTCGAGCTGTTGCACTCAAGTGTTAATTGAGTTAGTGGAGATGAAACGGCTTTTGTTTTTGTTTTTTTATCTGGGAATACAATTTTTCATTGCTGAATTACAGGGGATGGGAGTAACCAATTAGAGAGGGCTGTGTCTGGTTATCTGCCCTAATCCTGATAACCCCTAATTTACAAAATAGGCCGCATTCATTAGTCAAATACAGTATATAGTGGATTATCTGTGTAGAATCCCTACAGTTCAATCACACATGTGCAATCTCACTACTGGCCTCTATTGGCAGGTCACATGACTCAAGCGTATGCAAAAATAATCCTTAAAACTCTGTTAAAGGTATACAGGAGGATTTTCTACTTCCGGGTGGATCATCAACACTATTGGTCCTCCCAATAGGTCAATCATTCTGGTCTTTTCCTAAATCATGGGAAAATACTATATACCTTTAAGACTGGATATCTATACATAGTTCTCAAATTTAGTGACATTCAAGTCTTTGCGAATGGCTAGATCTTACTGGTTTCATTGGAAATACTTTCAATGGATATTATAAGCAGCTAAAAACTGGAGCAGCATGTAATAGTTTATACTGTATGTGTCCCCAGACAATAGTTCAACAACATGTACAAGTCATACAGTATTTGTGTTCTGAACAAAAGTGTGTTTATGCTTAATTAAAAATACAAGTGGAGGAAAAAAAATCACCACACAGACAAAAATAAGTCAATCGTATTGCATAGAGTTTACACAGTTTGTATGTGAAGCTACGTATTTAGGAAGAATCTGGCAACAAAAGTGGGATTGTGCTTGTAGATACTTGGACGACTGGGCATTGTCGTCCATTTGATCAGACTGGTGATCATCAGTCATGTGGTGAAAAGAACAAGGAACCCAAAGTGCAGGACAAAAATCTAGCATGTAATTTAATAGAATAAATCTAAATCCAATTAATTGATAGAAACACAAAATTCCAGAACTCAAAAAACAAGCCAGGAAGAAACATGGACAAATAAATACACACAGAGACAGACAGAAGGCAAAACTCCAATTACAAGAGAACAAGTATATCAAAAATAAAACCATGTAATACAAATAATCAAAAGGTCCACGCTATGACACCATTGTTACTTTCCCCCGACTGTATTTTTGGACGGCCCTAAACCTATGACCCCATGGAATATTTTTTTTATTTTTTTTGACTTCATTACGGTCTCATTCGCAGGCACAGGACCCATGGCTAAAGCAGAGTAAGCAGTGGTCATTTGGACACAGCCATGGTCAGTATTGTGTCAAAAATAAACAATGGTAGTTTATTACGTTCTTGGACAAGGACTTTCAAATGGAGTCCTGTAACTCGCACTCGAATCAGCGCTTACACACACTTCAACCCTCTGAATGCACGCTCTACTTTTCCAGTTATAGACAACATCTTCATTTACACTTTCTGCATATCAGAGGCTGTGACAAGCATTTTCCAAGTACTTCCACACTGAATACAAGTCCCATCCATGTTTGCAATTACAGTCTATTCCTGGGTTTCATATAACGTCAAGGCAGTGGCGCAATTAACAAACATGGAACGTGACGTATCCTGGCAGTGCAGTCTGCCGGGTTTATACATGGAGATATATCAATCAATCAATCAATAACATTTTATTTATAAAGCGCTTTTCATACAAAAGATGCAACACAAAGTGCTTTACAGTTTGGTTAAAAACAATCCCGCCGACCCAAGACCCCTCCCCCAGACCACCCAACAGACCCACCCCAAACCACAGACAAACACACACACGCGCTCATGAACACTCATACACACACACACACACACACACATACCAGTAAAACAATAAAACCATGATGAGAGACTTGGCAGGGTTCAGATGCAACCAGCTGAAAAAGCGTCATCCAAGGAGCCGTCTGCACCAGGAGCAGAGAGCCGCCCGTAGCCACAGGGGACGACACAGGACCCAGAGGAGACATGAAACCGAGGCCCCAGGCCCCCACCAGGCCCAAGAGTCCGACCCCCGCAGCCACACCGACCACTGCTCCCAGTGCAGAGGGCTCCTCCAGAGGAAACACTGGGTACACTAAAAACAATACAATAAGTAAAACACTAAAATGTGAGACTAAAAGGAACACACAATACATGAATAATAGCAATAGCAATATAATAAATAATAAATAATAAAAGATAAATAGAATGGAATAATAAAAACTAATCAAAAGCTAATCTAAAAAAGTGTGTCTTGAGCCTACTTTTAAAAATATGAACGTTCTCTACGGCCCTGAGCTCCTCCGGCAGACTGTTCCAGAGACGGGGGCCGTAGTGCTGGAAAGATGCCTCGCCGTGAGTGTGTGTCCTGACTTTGGGGATGGTTAGGAGTCTGCTGCCGGAGGAGAACAGGGGCCGGGAAGGTTCATAGGATAAAAGCAGTTCAATTTGGAGAGACGAGAAACAGGAAGTTGAGTATTTTATGAAAGGAGGTTTGGCGCCCTAGGTCCCGGTGCGGCCTTCGGATCGTAAAGGCTCCTGCGATGAGCGCGCACAATCCCCCAGGACCTAGGCACTGGTGGCGGCATTTGGCAGCGGGAAGAAAATTGAAGGCAGATTGGAGGCAGGGTGAAGAGGAGGAGGAGGGGAGGCGGTGGTTGCGAGGCTTCAGGAGGCCGGTAGTGGGCGTTGCTCCGTTTTTATGCGGCTGCGAGTCGGTACAGATGATTGGAAGGGGGCGTCTGCTGAGTGATAGGCTGGGGATGAGAGCCGGCCTGGAGGGGTAAATTTGGTTAACGTCTACCAAATTGAACTTTCGCTGGCTGCATTTCAATTTGGAGAGACGAGAAACAGGAAGTTGAGTATTTTATGAAAGGAGGTTTGGCGCCCTAGGTCCCGGTGCGGCCTTCGGATCGTAAAGGCTCCTGCGATGAGCGCGCACAATCCCCAAAAAGGCTGCGTGTTGATGGAGTTTTTCGAAGCCTGGTTTGGAGTGGACAGACGTCGTGACTACTCTATTCTGTGACCGCTATCGCTAAGCTGTGACCGCTATCGCTATGCTGTGACCGCTATCGCTATGCTGTGACCGCTATCGCTATATGCTGTGACCGCTATCGCTATATGCTGTGACCGCTATCGCTATGCTGTGACCGCTATCTACTGTGATCAATACTTGCGGATACTCGGCTGCTGGCGGCGCCTATCCGGAAGGAGTGAGCTGCGTAGAGATGGGGAGACAGGTTACAAAGCAGCAGTACGGACTTTAGTTGGGCTCTGAACCCGTTGGATGACGTTGGGAGGTGATCGGGGGTGAAAAATAACGGTCCGTTGAGATCTCCTTTCCGAGAGCGGAGGCGAGTGTAATGCATCATGGGTTATCTTTGCGCGCTGGGAACGTGAGCGTACGCATCACGTTCCGTCAGACGCTGCGGCAGCGGAGAGTGTTTGAGAAGTGCGTGCCGCCACCAGAATCTTATTGCTTCACTTACTTTGCTTCGTATTGCTTTGCTGGGAGCTTGCGAGGAAGCCAGTAGGCGTTGTGCAGCCAGGATGGCGGACGCGTCTGGGCTGATGTAGGCGGAGAAAGCCGAAGAGGACCAGCACCCCAGCTGTTGGAGAGGTGGGGGAGCCCCAGCGAGGCCGCGCCTATCCTGAAGGAGTGGGCTGTATGGAGCTGGGGAGACAAATTGCAGAGGAGCAGTAGGGATCTTAGTTGAGCTCTGAACCAGGTTGCTGTCATGGGAAGGTTGTCTGGAGAGAGATGTGTCGGAGCGAGCTATTATTATGTTGCAGGCGCCTTGGTCTTTGAATGTTTGAGATGAAGGTTGAAAGGGTCAGGGGACATTATGTTGGGTGAAAGGAGCGACCTTTGTGTGATGCTTCCATTACGTCGAGATTATCGCGCATGACAGAGATCCTCTTTCTCTGCCACGTGTGATTCCACAGCGCGCAGGCCACGACCACTGGGAATATCTCGTGTAGGGCAGAGGAGATGCTCCGGTGGAAGTAGCGGCCACGGCCCGGCAACCCAATGGTCCTGGAAGAATCCCCCAAAACCCACGGAAGGGGCACGTCCGTGTAGAAGCGGAGACCTGTAAGGGCAGAGACATGTCGGAGAGGGCCATTGATGTTGCAGGCGCCCTTACGCTTAGAATCTTGGGTTGGAGAGTAGATAATCAGGATAGTAGGATGGTCGGGAAGCCGCGTCTCGGACCGCATGAAGGTTGAGCGAGCAGTAGTGGACGCTTATGCAGAGAAGTCATAGAAGGCGAGCAGGAAGATGCTGCGAGGAGGGCAGACATGTACTTGGAAGACGAGCCAGAGTTCAGTGCCGCTCAGAGCCGCTGCCGGATGGGCAGCACGATGGGGGAGCCTGCGATCAGAAGAGTGAAGAATACAGGTATGGATGCCTTTGATTAGGAGTCCGGTTGACGGCTCAGCGCAGCTACTCGGCCGGCTGCATCTGATAGAATCAGAAGATGAGGTAGAGAGATGAAGCATGACCGCCGAAGCGACCCTGGGAGCATAGGTACGAGGCCAGCGCGGCCCGGCATACTCAGCCGGGCAGCATCCATTAGAAACAGGATAAGCTTCTGAGAGAGTGGGTTGCAGCAGTAGCGGTAGCAGCAGCGGCAGCAGCAGTACCTCA